AAAAGAAAGTTTTCATTTTAACGAGAGAAAATAACATAACTAATCATTATTATTTTTTTCTCCTTTCCTTTTCTTTCCTTTCCCTTAAATAATAATTATATAATAATATAATAATAATAATAATAATAATAATAATAATAATAATAATAATATTTCTTCGCGTGCTAGAACGTGAATAAAAAAAAATTTCCCCGGCTTTGTTTCTTTTTATTCCATTCTAAAAACTTTTTTTTTTTTAGTTTTTTTTTTTTCTTCTGACATTTTCTGTCATATGAATTACGATGATGGTTCGCGTGTGTGTGTGTGCGTGCGTGTGCGTGTGCGTTTTTAAACAATTATCATTATTTATTATGTCACGTAAAAATTATTATGTAACAAATCTTTTTTGTTTTTGTTATTCGAGTAACGTCCCTCCTCGTTTTTTTTTTTGTTATTTAATTTTCTTTTTTTTCCCCTCAAAGAAATCAATTTTCGATTACCAAACAAACAAACAAACAAACAGCAAAAAAAAAGAGACAATAATAATTAATTTTCGATCGAAAGTATCGTATAATATTTTTTTTTTTTCGTTTTCGTTTTTATTTTTTTTTTTTTTTTAAATACGGTACGAAAATTCCATATTGAATGACAAAAAATAAATTTCTCTTTCTCTCTCTCTCTCTCTCTCTCTCATCTATTTATCGCCTATGTGAAAAATCTAATCTCTATAAATATTTACAATATTTATAATTATGTATGTATGTATATATATTATTATTATTATTATTATTGCTTATTGCTATTTTTGGCACTGGTTTTCGACGCTTTTCTTTTTTTCAATTGTCTCTCGTGTTCTTTATTGAAAACTTCTTCGCTTATATCCAGTCTTATCACCTGTAAGAAAAAAAAAAGAAAACAAAAAAACTTTTTATTTTATTTTCTCTCCCTTCGTGTGTGAGTAAGAAGATGATTTGAAAGGTAAAAAAAAAAAAAAAACCTGAGGAATCAAAAAATATTCTTCCAAAATTTCCGGCGGAGGATTTCTTAACACCTCCAAAGTTTCATACATTGTCGGACAATTTTTCAACGTAGCTCTACTGTCCAAACTGAATTTCATTATGACTAGAGCCGCTTTAAAAATCACTTTAACTCCTGGACACAAAAAAAAAAAAAAAATTTAATATTTATTCCGCTGGAAATTCCCGATCAACGATTTTTAAGGGAAAACCCCCCTTAACACATCACCTTCGCATAAAAACATATCCCAAATCCTGAGTACCGTCGCCCACGGGAGTGACCGAGTGAAAACGCATAGAAACCATTCCGTCATGTAAAGTATGGGTTCCATTTTTTGCTTTTTTATATGCTTGTAAACTCTCGGAGCGACTTTTTTTAACAAACCGAATAAAATGTCTCCGTCCAATTGCAAGGATTCCTTTTTTTCCCCCAGAAACCAAAAAAAAAAAAAAAAAAAAAAAAACAAATAATCACGTGATTGATGACGTAGTAACATATTAATTTTTTTTTTTCGTAATAAATTTTTCGTCTAATTGTGGTATCCACTAATAATTAACGACCATTTTGAATTTGGTCCTTGACCACCACGCGGTTAAATCTTCCTAAATAATAATAATACTAATTAATCTTTTCCGTTTTTTTTTTTTTTTTAAATATTCAAATCTTAACTTTGATTACGTTTCATTTCCCCCTCCCCTCCCCCTGTCCTGTTATTATTATTATTATTATTTTTTCTTAAATGACGCAATTACAATTAATTTTCAAGTTTTATATATTTTTTTTTTTTATCAAAAAACGTAGGAGTGGTAATTTCATTCAATTATTATTATTATTATTATTATTATTATTATTATTATATTACCATTCCCTGACTGTAGTAACCCATGAGATATTTTTCACAAATTGAAACAAGGCACCAAAAAGCTTGCTCTGCAGGCATGTGCATGAGAAGAAAGGCAGCCAGCGGAGCTTGAGCTTGACAATATCCAACAGCGGGATTTAATATAGAAAAACATTTTAAAACCTGAGATAATTCCGTTTGCCTGAAATAATAAAAAAAATTCTAAAATATTTATGAATGAATTTAAACTTTCTCTCTCTCCCCCCTCTCTCTCTCTCTCTGTATTCTATTTCCTTCTCCCACTTATTTAATAATTTCATATTACGAAATTAACTTCCTCCTCCTCCTCTTCACATCACATCTCCTAGTAAATTATTAATAATATGCATTCTTTTACAAAACGAGTAAAGTATAAAAATAGAAAGAGAGAGAGAGAGAGAGAGAGAGAGTTGCCATTTGATTTCGTAATATAAAAAAAAAACGTGCAACGCATGTGTGTGTGTGTGTGTGTGTGTGTGTGCGTTCAGAAAGTTCGTACCCAACTCCTTCCTCGGAAATGAACATTTCGTGATAGGGAAATTGTCTGTGAAGGTCTTTTTTAATGTCGTCCACCCATCTTGGATCTCCGTCTTTTTTACACAAATCATCGTATAATCCTTTCGATTGTTCCATTAGAAATTGTCCGCCGCACAGGTACAGCCACGCTCTCGATCTTAACGAGGGGGGAATCCCTTTCCTGCATCTTTTCCTTATTTTCCTATAATCCTTATCCATGTACTTTCTCCAGTCTGCCAACATTTGAATCCATTTTCGTTCTCTTCTAAGAACGACCGCACGAGGGACGAGTTGAATGCTGGAAATCATAAAAAAAAAAAAAACGATTAATTGATATCGATCGAGAGTCACCATATTTACTTTAAATTCGATAATAAAAAAAAAAAAAAAAAAAATTGTCGTCTGCTCATTAGTTCACCTCAAAAAAAAATCTTAAAATATTTTACAGCCTGTTTTACAAGTTTTTTTTTTTTTAATTTAAGCTTTTGCAATTGATTAACAACAACAACAACAACAACTTTCAACAAACACTTGAATCTCCTCCAGTAAAAAAAAATGATGATGATAATAATAATAATAATTTAACAACAATTTCATTTAAAAAAAAAATTTTTTTTTATTAACGATCTGCGACGACGACAAAAAAAACGTATCCATAACCGGAATAATTTTTTAACCTTAAATCCTGTTTATTTGTTTTATTTCCGGTTTTTTTTTCTTTAAAAAAAAAATTTAAACGCTGGACATTTAAACGTGCCTTGGACACAACGACAAACAAACAAACAAAAAATTTTTTTTTTTTTTTTATCAAAAGATTCCGTAAAACAAACAAACACAAACACATGCGAAATTACTCATGATTATTTTTAACTTTTCTTTAAAAAAAACTTAATAATAATAATAATAATTCGCCATCATTATCGATTTTCAAACTATTATTACTATTATTATTATTATTATTATTATTAATTGCCATCGCTAAAAATAATAATAATAATAAAAATTCCTCAGAGTGAAACAATAAAAATAAGAAAAAAAAAAAAAAAACTGGAAAGTTTCGAGAAAGCGGAAATAAATAAATAAATAAAAAGTCAAACGATTTAAACGATTTTAATAATAATAATATTAATAATACTAATAATTTTAATAATAATAATAATAATAATAATAATAATAATAATAATAATAATGATAATTCGCTTGTAAAATTTTACCATTGATTTTTTTTCTTTTTTTTTTTCATTTTCCTCTCGTTCGAACGAACACGTATGACCACCACCGTGTTTGTCGGGTAACAAAATACCATTGACTCATAATAATAATAATAATAATAATAGTAATAATAATAATAATAATATCATCCATTTTCGGCTTGAATGACATCGTTTGTGTTCATGCAAATTGATTTTATTTCATTTTCTTTTTAATTTTAAAACGTTTATTAAATATTAAACATTATTATAATTTTGAATAATTTTTCTTATACGAACTGTGATATACTATTATACCTTTCGTAAAGATTAATAATAATAATAATAATAATAATAATAATAATAATAATAATAATAATAATAATAATAATTCATTTCACGTTTTTTGAATTTAATATGATGATTTTGTATGCGTGCAATCAAAAATTATTTCCCTTCGAAAAAAATTTTTTTTTTTACTATGAAACAAACGACGACGACAAACGAGCTCGTCGCCTTATTTGACCGAATATTTAAATGAAACCTTAATAATAATAATAATAATAATAATGATAATTAATAATAATAATAATAATAATAATAATAATAATAATAATAATAATAATAATAATAATAATAATAATAATAATAATAATAATAATAATAGCAACGAGACTAGTAAAAAAAAAAATGAAAAAAAAAAAAGGAGAATGCGTGTTGTTGTTGTTGTTGTTCTGAGGAGTGGTCGTTCGGTCAGATTTTTGTTACAAAAAAACTTATAATCATTGAAAAAGTTTTTACGTTTTAGTTTTGTGTCACTACTTCCTAAGGGAAAAGTAGAAAAAAAAAAAGGGGATTCTTCTTCCACGATAAATAAAAAATTAAAATCATGGCAAAACGTTTGACACCGGAAATATTATTAAAAGAAAAGCCTAAACGTTTAATCCAAAATGATATAATTTCACACGATGGAACTTTCACGGGGGAAAAGGGAGAGGGGGAGGGGAGAGATAAATAATAATAATAATAATAATAATAATAATAATAATAATAATAATAATAATAATAATAAATATTTTCTACGAGGTTAGAAAACACACATGACATTTGTCAGTTATTTATATACACGCTTTTTTTAGTTATCAACCGTAAACCGAAGGTTACAAAGTGATAAGTTAATGCAAAAATTTTCACGTTTATTGAACCTAATTTTTTTTTTTTTTTCAAATAATAATAATAATTGTGTTTGGTAACGGTTTCGTTTCAAGGTTTCGAATTATTAAATTTAATACCTATTTTTTTTTTCTTTCTGTTTCTTTTGCTAAGAAAAGGTGTGGAAATCCGGTATAATAAGGTACGAAGTTACGAAACGAAAATGGAAAAAAAAAAAAAAAAACATATCGAGTTTGGATTAATTAATTTGTGTTGGGTCATTTTTTAGGAAATGACTCTTATCGATAAAAATTTGTATTTTTTTCCCTACTTTTCTCCCCTCCCCCCACCCACCCCCCTCTCTCTCTCTTTCTCTTTCCCCTATTCGAAAAAATCGAATGGGATTTCATTCGCATCACACATAAATAAATTTTTATTAACCCTAAATAGTTTTATTATTCGATTGCCATTTCAATTTAAATTTTAAACAAGAACTACTAATAATACTACTACGGTAATTTTCGCCATTGAACAAAAAAAAATTATTGCTTTGATTAATTTCGTTTGGGTCAATTTTTATGTCATTGTCAGTCACCTTGGACAATAAAAAAAAAAAAGGAATTCGTTTGTCCCCAATCAAAATAAAAGTCACGTTATTTAACCAATTAGTCCAAAAACCAAATTGAAAAAGAACTAAAAAAAAAAAAAAAAATGAATTTCAGGTGGGTTAGAGAGAGAGAGAGTTATTGAACTATTTTTATTATTATTATTATTATTATTTAAATAAAACCATTTATGCGAAACAATCAAAGTTACCTACTAACACATTTTAAATAAAATTTCATTTCGAAGGTGCCATTGAAAAAAAAAACAATGGCTGATAGGATAATAAAAGTAATTACTCAAAGGGAACCAAAATATAACCCTGATAACAACTAAAACAAATCAATTATATACCTTAATGATATTTAAATCATATATTATTATTATTATTATTAAACATTTTAAAATTTTTAATAATTAAATAAATTAAATTGACCAATTATTGAAAAAAAAAAACTAAATTTGAACAGCGATAGGTGATATGTGATTATGTTACAAAACATTCAAAAATTCATTCAAGGCTAACAAAAAAAAAAATATTATTCGATTTAAACAAACAAATAATATTTTCAATGCATAGGCTACTCACTCACTGAAAGAAATTTTTTAGGTAATGCTTAATGTAGGGGTTCTAGTGTATTGAAAAAAAAAAAAAAAAAAAAAAAAAATGTTTTCTATTTAAAGATTTTTTATTTTAGGGATTCGAAATACTCAAGATTTTTTTTGCTAATTATAGAATATTTATTTTATTCGAATTTAAAAGGGGTTTAAATTTTGTATTTAAAAATAACTTTAAGCATATTTTAAAACTTTGGATTTGACGATTAATACAAATACTAAAAAAAAATAACAATATTATTATTATTATGGTTACTATTATTGATTTTTAATTGCCAATTAAAAGTTAATTAATATTATGAATAATGAGAATTAAAATTCTTATCAGATTTAAAATATAATGAAAAATTAAATTTAAGGAAAAACATATCATTAATTATCTTATTATGCAATTAAAATATGTTTTGGTATTTTTTTTTTTTATATAAAAACATTAGTTTAAAACTCAAACAGGAAGTAATTATTGTTACATAAATTTGAATTCTTTGATTTATTTATCTCGATTATAGGTAAAATAATATGCAAGGTTTTTTTTTTTGTCGGTGTCGACAAAAGTCGACAAAAGAAAAATTAATTTTCTTATCAAAAGTTATTTCTCTTTATTAAGACTTTTGCAAAATTTATGGACAAGTATTGTAGTCCCCTTTTTGATTTAGAGTTTATTAACACTTAAACCAAGTTCATTTATTAAATTAATGAATTGAAAAAATTATTCAAGAAATAAACTTGTGATAAGAGTTTTGAAATAATAAATATTTTCTTATTTGACTTACGGTTCAGCTGTATATTGAGAACCTCCCAAAAATCCATGTCTGTCAGGAACAGTTGAAACGTTTGATCCGTTATTAGTTGCACAGCTTGCTTCGGAACAAGTTTCATCTCCATCAATATCACTTCTGTTACATTCGGATGCCATTTTTATTTAATTACTGTCACTCGATTGAAATTATACATTTCGTACATAAAAAAAAAAAAAATTTTAATAAATTTCAATATGTGGTACGCGCTACTAGTTGTAAGTTATTTTTCCATATACAAAAAAAAAAAAATTTAAAACGACGTTTCAAGAAAATTTTGAATATAAGCGCATTTTTTTTAGTTTTATATAAAAAACTAATCTCTACCACATTATTTCGTAAAATGGTTCATGACAGTTAAAATTCACACCTCACACTATGGCGTCAATAATAACAAATATTGTCTCTTTCTTTCCAAAAAGAAAAGTAAAAGTGATTTAAAAGCAAAAGGTACTATTCGCGAGTTTATCGCGATAAAAGGTCTGTTTCCGTTTATTTATATAATTTAAAAATGGCGGCTTGGCCGGAGATACAGAGTGTTATTAAAGATAATAGGTATGAATTGATATTATCTGGAAATTCTGTTTCTGACAGAATAAAAAAAAATAATTTGAGTGACGAGTTATTTTCATGTAAAAGCTTAAACTTTCTTCAAATATCTGACACATGTCTCCATGAAATTTCGCCGAAAATCAAAATGCTTGATAACCTCACTTCTTTAGTTTTACATTCGAATAATTTGAGTAAATTATGTCCAGAAATCGGTTGTTTAATCAAATTAAAGTTTTTGAATGTATCGAACAATAATATCGAAGAATTACCTTCCGCAATAGGAAAATTACAAGCACTGACTTCGTTAAATGTTAGCTCTAATAAAATTTCTGAAATTCCGGACTTGACTAATAATACACAGTTAAGCACAGTAGATTTTTCTCACAATACTTTGACTGAAATGACGCAATTATGTAATAATCAGTTGATTCGGCTGTCTGAAATACATTTAAAAAAAAACTACATTAAAGTGATACCACCAGAAATTAACGTTTTAACGGCGTTGAAATTTTTGGATGTAAGCAGCAATGAAATAACCCAAGCCACCGGAGAGCTAACAGACATTTCTAAATTGAAAGGTAAAACTAAATTTCTAGTTTTGTAAGTTCATTTGATTCTTTTTAAAAAAAAAGAAATTTTTTAGTTTCAACTGTAAAAATCTAACTTATCTATTTTTCAATATTTGCAGATGTCAATTTACAAGGAAATCCTTTATCCGACAAAAGGCTTGCCAAATTAGTGATTCAGGGTAAATCAAAACCAATATTAGATTACATAAAAGAACATGGTGTTAGAAACAGTGAAAAAGATGAAAATGCCAAAGGGAAAAAGGGCAGAGTTAGAAGAAAAACAAAAAACAGCGAAGGAGAAAATCTTGTAAGATATACAGCAATAAATTTTTTCTAATTTTGCTTTAAAAATTTTAATAATCGTAAAAATGTAGTAATATAATTTTTTTTTGTCTCAATTTTCTAAGGAACAAAGTATTTCTTGCAAGTACAAATTAAAAATAGTCAAGTCTGATGATCCATGCATTGTAAAACAGGCAAAATTTGCCAAAGAAGTCAGACCGCATTTTTTAGCATGTGTCGTTAAAAACATATCGTGGGATTTGGAAACTGTTAAAAAATTTTTACAACTTCAAAACAAAATGCACGATGGTATTTGCGACAAGAGAAATTTTGCCACTATCGCAACACATGATCTTTCTTTGTGCAAAGGTAGAAATTTCCTTTACACTGCTCTCTCTCCTGAAGGATTTAAAATCATACCCCTGTCGAGAAATAAAGAATTCACCGGAAAAGGTATAATGATCATGTTGAATAAACGGGAAAATTTTTTTAAATTTTCTCGATGTTTTAATTTTAAATTTTATTTTTTTTCTCTCTGCAGAATTATTTCTTCAATTGCAACAAGAAGCAGAAGCTTTGAGAAAGGAAAAAAAGAGAAACACATATTCGGGGATTCATAAATATCTGTATCTTTTAGAGGACAAACCGTTGTATCCTTGTTTATTGAATTCGGAAAACACGGTGATTAGTTTTCCTCCTCTAACAAACTCCGATTCGACCAAGGTACGTATATATTTTATTTCGCGCACGAAAAAATTTTGGATTTAATTCGAAAAAAATTTAATATTTAATTATTATTATTATTATTTTAGATATCCGTCAACACGAAGGAATTATTAATTGAAGTCACGTCATCGAAATCTCAAAGCAATTGCAAAAAAGTTTTAGATTCCCTATTGAAACAAATGTTACAAAGTGGAATCGCCACGACGTTCGACGAAGAATGTTTCACTATGACGGTCGAACCCGTACGCGTGGAAGATCCCGAAGGAACTTTGATCGTTTCTTATCCATCGAAAATCGATTTAGAATTCGAAGATGACACGATTCAAATAATCAGAACAACTTGAACATTTCAACTGTTACTATTATTATTATTTTTTTTTATTAATTTGTTTTGTTTTTTTCTTTTATTTTATTTTCGTTCAATAATAATTTTAAAGTTGTGCCGTGCCGTAGAAAAAAAAAAAAAAATGGCGGCAAAGCATTAAAAAAATTTTTTTCTTTTGTTTTCTTTTTTTTTTAACGTGTGAATAACATAAAAACAAATCGATAAGAAAATTTCTGATCGTTAAATAATTATTATTATTATTTCATGTAATTATTTTTCATTCATTAAAAAATTTTTAAATTTTCTTTTTATTTTATTTTTGTGAGGTAAGAGTGTGATTTAATAATAATAATAATAATAATAATAATAATAATGTTAAACTTGTTGCTTTATTTTTAAAAATTTTATTATTATTATTATTATTTTTTAAAAGGTACAAAAAAAAATTTATTTATAAACAATGTATTTATATATAAATTTGTAAAATTAAATTTTAAAATGATTCATTCAGGAAAAAAGAAAAAAAAGAAAAAAAAAAACTATATGAAAATTAAATAAAATTATGAATCGAAAAAAAAAAAAAAAAAAAAGAATAAAATGACATTAACTGTCTTTGTAATAACGAAATTAGTGACCAAAATATGAAATCAACGGGGGTTAGTTTTTACCCTCTGCCACCCTGCTGAGTGTCAGGGTGTCTACTACACATGTTCATCCGCATCTCTCTTTTATATTTCCTTGTTTTTCGACAAAGAGGAAAACAACCAACACACACACGCACATTTCCATCAGAAATTTTTTTTTTTTTTTCCTTAATTAAAGACATTTTGTCAAATTTTTTAAAATATCTTATAATTATTATTATTTTTGTTAAGTTTGAGAAAGGAAGTAAAAATATTTTTATCATAAACGTGCGTGTGCGTGTGCGTGTGCGTGTGTGTTGACCCTCCTTTTACGAGTTAAGAGGAAAAATATTTACTTTAATATATATATATATATATATACTTTTGTAATCGGTTTCTTCCGATCCATTTCATTGAAGAGAAAAAAAGAAAATAGAAAGAAGGTGGTGAACGAGGGGAAGAGGGAGAGGGAAAGGGGGAGGGGAGAGAGAGAGGAAAAACCAATTTTTTTTTTTTTTCCTATTCGCAATCTTATTTTCAAAATGATCGTAAAGAGTTTTAACAGAGAACAAAAAAAAAAAAAAAAAAAACCATTTGAAATTAGCTTACGGGCAAAAATGTAAAAATAACAAAGTTTTCTCTCTCTCTCTCTCTCTCTCTCTCTATCTCTTTCACGCATTTTTATTTTTCTCTTTTTCTCTTTTTTTATGTAAGGGTGAGTTTTCACCCTTTTGTACAAAAGGGAAAAAGAAATTGCGAAAATTTACCCCCATTTGATAGAATTGACTTCTGACCGCTAATAAACATTTAGTTTTCTTGTGAAAAATTTTTTTTTTTTTTTACGTGGTTGTCGTTGTTGTTGTTGTTTGTTGTTGTTGTTGTTAAAAAATCTTCTGCTAAACGAAAATAATTATAAAAAAAAAATTTTTTCGGGAATAAATTTTTTAAAACGAATAAAGAAAAATTATTAATTTTTTTTTTTTGTATTCGATTTTTTGTCGGGTCGACAACAACGACAAACAAACAAACAAACAAACAAGGAAAATAATTCACGTTTTAATATTTTAATTTTATTTCAGGAAAAAACAGGAAGAAGAAGAAGAAGAAAAGAAGAAGAAAAAGAAGAAAAAAATTAAATAAATAAAATTTTTTTTTTTCATTTTTAGAAAATAAAATTAACCATCCATCGAATTTTCAACTCTTTCCAAATGAAATGCGGGTCGTAAGAATTATGAGATGAGGGATTTATGATCCCCTTTTGTGGGAATTTGGGATTTTAACAATTTCTTTGTCGCCAAAATAACACATCATTATAAGACCATAAGTTTGTCGCCAATTGGTTTTTAACTTTTTGCAAATTTTCACAAAATTAATTTCGTGCGAAAAAATTTTTTTTTTTTTATTTTATTTTACGAGCCTGTTGATCGATTTTCGATTTTATACCTTTTCCAAAATCAATAATAATGATGATGATGTTGATGATGATGATGATGATGATGATGATGATTGATGTGATGATGATGATGACGATGATGATTAGATCTTAAAAACCATCGCCATTTTTTTTTTTTTTTAAATTCGACCAAGTATTCGATTATTATTGAAAAAAAAAAAAAAAATTTTATAAAAATGTCGGAAAAGTTTTCTCCCTTATGGACCGCCATTTTTTTTTTTTTTACTTGGATACTCGATCAAATTTTTTTTTCATTTCTTCTCTTTCCTCTTGACCATCCATCATCATCATCATCATCATCATTTTTTTTCCTTTTTCTTCAATTATTAATCGACCAAATGTCGTAAAAATTTTTTTTTCCCTTTTTCGTATCAACATAAAAATAAGAAAAAAAATGTCGAAATAATAATAATAATAAATAAATATGTACGTTAAAATAAATTTGAAATTTTGCAAACTTCTCAAAGAGAGAGAGAGAGAGAGAGAGACATTGGTTGTTTCATAAATAAATTTCTCTATTAAAAAAAGAAGATGAACTTTGATCTTTTTAGTTATTAAAAAGTTTTTATTATTATTATCATTATTGTTGTTGTTGTTGGAATTGATTGGCACTATGAGATAATAATAGTGTTAAATTTTTCCCATGACTGATCCACGAATGGACAATATGGTAGCCACATAGACAAGATTAAATGTAAACAAAATTAAAAAAAAAAAAAAAAAAAGTTGAAATGGCGGCGGCGGCGGCGGCAATGGCGGCGGCAATCGTAATTGAGAAGAGACACGTTTTGGAAATTACTGGAAAATACGGTTCCCATATTATTCTGGATACTTTGAATCGTGTTCGAATTTTTTTGGAAAGAGAAAGAGAGAGAGAGAGAGAGAGAGAGAGAGAGAGAGAGAGAGAGAGAGAGAGAAAGGGAGGAATAAGGAAGTGAATTTGACAATCCCGTAACATGAATTTTCTTTAATATTAATACGTACGTATAATTATTATTATTAATAAATAAATAAATTCCTTTTTTTATTTTAGGGGGGGAGGTGGGGGGTTTTAAATCTTTTTTTATATTAGGAAAACAATATTGTCATCATTTAAATTTAATCTTATTTCGAACAATAAAAAGTCATCGAAAACGTTCGGGGGATTTACAAAAGAAAAAAAAAAAAAGGAAAACACGCAAAAAAAATTTTTTTTTTATTTTTTTTTTAAAGATTCCTGTTTTTTTTTTTTTTTTTTCAGGAAAAACAACAGAACAACAGGAAACAAAAAAAAAAAAAAATAGGAAAATGGTTTGTTATCTGAAAGTGGAAAAAAAAAAAAAAAAAAAAAAAGTGACACATTTGTTTTCTCCCCATCCTCATTTAGTATGTAAGCTATCTAAGCTTCTATTCATTTTGTACTCAAGGGAGTACTGATATGTTGGAGATGATCCCGAGGGACTCCGCAATTGTCCCATCCGTGAATCACGGCTTCCATCTTCATCCCTTCTCCTTTTGGGAATTCTTTTGTTTGATCACTAATCAAATCGATATGTATTTAATCGTTTTCTTTGTATAGTTTTTCCCCTGACGAAAATATTTCAGGTTTTCTCCTCCTCCCCTTCCACCTCCCCATCCTCCTCCTCCTCCTCCTCTTTCTATCCATTCTTTTTTTTTTTTTGTCCAAAACGATGATGATGATGATGATAAAAATTTTATTTTCTATAAAAAAAAAATTGTGGTAATGGTAAATTCATCACAATAAAACAAAAAAAAAAACGATTTAATGGAATGAATAGTAGTTTAGTTACACGTCAAAAAAAAAATGGCGGGAAAGATGAAGGTGGTATATTGTTCGTGTTGTTGTGTTCCTTATTATGGCACAATCAATGTTTTTTTTTTCTTTGTGGATAATGTATTCTGCGGTTAAATATTTGGTTGTAATTGAGCCACGGTTGGTGGTGATGGTGATGGTGATGGTGGTGGTGGTGGTGGTGGTCGTGGTGGTAGTGGGTTACCTTTATTGGGTACTTTATTTATACGTAACGTGCCGACAAACCGCACAATTTTTTTTTTTTTTTGTACCTTAACCACAATTTTTACTTATCGTTCTACCGAAAAAAATTTTCCTTACATTCGTACATAAATAAATTTCCGGTTTACAAATGGAAAAATATCAAATCGTCGGCATTTTAAGAAAGAAAAAAAATACATTGTAGCCAATTTAACAAAAAAAAAAAAGATTTTATTATTATTAGTAGTAGTATCGTCTAACTCTTTATTTGAAATGTATAAACTTTTCTTTCTTTTACCGTAATAATGATGATTATTTGTTGTATGTTTTTCGTGTAAGAAATTTACTTTGTCTTTTTTTTCTTTTCTATTACCCTAGTAGTAGTTGTTGTAAACACAGCAAGAATCCATCATTTATAATTACGCCATTGAATGGAACAAAAAAAAAAAAAAAAACATCTTAGAGTGAATCGTTTCCAATAATTTATTACTCCATTTTTTTTTCTCCCTGACAAACACACCAACACAAACACCAAAATCAGGTAATTCTCATGCAAATTTTTTTTTATTTAAAAAAAAAACCGGTTGGTAACACGTATAAATAAATAAATAAGTCAATAAATAAATAAATAAAATAAATAAATACGAACGAAATAACAAAATGTGTGAGTGAGTGCAATTAAAATTAATTTTTCTTAATTGTGATAAGTAGTGTAAGGATTCGCAGGAATTATTATTATTATTATTATTATTATTATTATTATTATTATTATTATTTGTTTAAATGATATCCAATCAGAAGAAGAAGTTAAAGAGAAACATCCTACAGGTTTTTAAATAATTTTTTTTTTTATTTAAAAAACTTCGACATGTTGGGTGTACGATCAACAATTTATAAATAACGGTTTTTTTTTTTTTTGGAGGGAATTTTTTTTTTAAACATTTCTCCTT